ATATCCCATGATGGTTATATATAACTTATGACTGTCACTGGAGAAAATCCATTCTCTCTCCCTCAGCAGCCACTGAGTAAATATAGCTTTTCAGCTAGGGCGTGGCCTTGTGGGTTTTCCTCCATCCATTTTGGCACATTGCCTGGCATACTCTTTGTTCAGATTTTGCTCGGGACGCTATATTGTTCAAATAACCTTTTTGTGTCCATTTGCGTCCTTGGCTCTTAAAATCTATTACTGATGACATAGAAACAAAATGCTAGAACAGTTGATAATATTATTTCGATTGTTTATATATACCTTATTCAAAAGTACGGACAATAAGGAATACAGAAACATTAACATGATTTATGGGAAATATAGAAGCCGGAAAAAGGCATATCCATGAATGTCACAAACTAATAAACATACACTTCATCTCCTCAGCTCTATGCTGGGAATCAAGTGGATTTACAGAACCTAGCAATAGCACACTCATGAATGAAATTTGTATTTGGCAAATGAATACGGAGTGTAAAACTCTTCTGTAATTCACATTGTATTATAATTTGTCTATCTAGATAAATCACCGGAAATTAAAGATGCATTATTTTTTGAGTCACACTGTCTCCCATTCATTGGTATAAATCACTATTCCAGTCAAAATCTTGCAAGTATCTGGCGAACCTCTATCATCTATCCTTTCACTTTGTTGAGGGTTAACTTATTTCACAGTTTAATTTTTCATTTTTATCAGTTTATATATGCATATAATTTTCTTCTCTCTCAAATAGATATATATATATATAATACAAAATATTCTTTTGACCATTAATACTCACTTTAGAAAATGAAGATGGGAAAATAAATAATTCCTGCATATTTTTCATGTTTTAGAATGTGTAAAGAAAAAAATCACTGTGGGATCATATTATTGTTTAGTTATTGACCTTATTCAATAGTACTTCTTCTAAAGTCCGATGTTACTTTCTTACAAAGGGATTTTGTGGGGTTTCTTCCTAATGTCACTCTATCTCTAGGAGAGAAGAGTCATTTTGAGGTATAAACTGAGAGCAGGGGAAAAGATACCCTCTTTCTCCAGAGAATGAGCCCCATGGGACACCATCCAGCCTCCTTGATGAGACCATGAGACTATAGCGGTACAGTTGGGGCTGATGGGGATTAACCAGTTTTTACTGGAATCTGACCCCGAAGTTGCTGTAGACATGCCTTCCATTTTTTCTTTTGTAATCAACATCAGTTCCCTTTTGACCTCTCTTTGCTCCTTTTTTACATATCTGGAAAATGCTAGGATGCTGAGTCCTTTGCCCAATGACCCTCCTCCACTTAATTCAAGGTAGATTTTAAGTAGCCCATGGTGAATGTTTTAATATATTTTTATTGCTGTGTTTCAATTTTTTTCCTAATGACAATAAAATTCCTCACAGGAAAAAATAATTTATATTGCCTTGTAGTTTCGACACACAGAATCATCATAGCAAGCAAATGACATGGGAAGTCCTTCTGTATATGTGTTGCTTTTATTGGTTAATAAATGAGCTGCTTTTGGCCAATGGCTTAACAGAATATAATCAGGCTGGAAGAGATATAGAGAGAGAGTAAGCAGAGTCGGTGAGACGCCATATAGCCTCCGCCAGAGACAGGTGTGCCAGAACCTTGCCAGAAAGTAATAGCCATGTGGCAATACACAGATGAATAAAAATGGGTTAATTTAAGATATAAGAGTTAGTCAGAAATACGCTTAAGCTATTGGCCAAACAATATTGCAAAGACTCTACCTCCTGGAAGGTACCATATTCTTGCCAAACAGTGAGGTATGTTGGAGACCAAGCACTCAAACACATGAGCCTATGGGGGAAGTCCATACTCAAATCATCACATTTGATGGTGAGTGAGGATGTTTCCTTTCATTCTCATCCCCTCTCCATAGCAGCACTGGGAGTAATATGCAATAATTATTCCCATTTGGAGGTAGTGGAAACTCACATTTAGCTAACTTAATACACTTGCCCTAGGTTTGTGGTGACAGTGTTGAATTGTAAACCTAGACTGGAACTGGAAACATTAGTCCTAACCAACACGCTATACGCTCCTGCAGAATACCTCATGCCTGCAAAATTATAGTGAAAAGTCACGGGGAAATTCCACACTTCTTCAGCCAGAATGCATATTCCAAAGTAACAGAAGGCATTTGTGAAGACACTTCATCCCAAGGATGCAAAGATTTCAAGAAGAAAGTCTGAGAACTAATTTGGTTACAATAGTTGATAATTTGTGCTACCTCTGTGTCAAATGTCAAAAATCCAGCTGCTTTTCCCTTCTAGATTTTAAAACAAAAGTTCAAAATGGCATCTGTTTCATAAGCCCAAAATTACAATGAAGGTACAAAGAAGAAATATGTTAATCTGCCACACTTATCAGCCCAGTGACTAACATTGCTACCTCCTGTGAGTTCCTTTGCCTGTTTAGATTTTATGCGAAGTATTCTAATCATGAAGCCATCCAGTCTTAAACTAAGGCAGCCTAAAACCCTCAGTGTGCTATGTCTACCAAAGGCCAGAAGATTAGGATATCTGTTTCATCCTAAGCAAACAGCATTTCAGGCACAAAATAATCAACCGGACCACCTCACTTCTCAAATTAAGAGGAAGGAAGTCATTCTGTTTGTGTTTACTCTCTACCTGCTTCTTTTATATCAGAAACTCTGGAAGGTATTTTACCCATTTAATTATCTCTTATTAGAAGAACGCAAAAGAGAAACAAGGACTCCCCCACACTCCTTCACCACCTTCTCTTGTTCATTTCCCAATAATGCTGTGACCATCTTGTTAAGATTAAAAATAAATGAAAGGAACACAGCTCTTTGGTGATTATGGAGTCTCCAATGTGCCCAAAATGTTTATTCTCTAAGTTATTTCAGATGAGGGGGAGGAGTTTTTCCTGTAGGTCTATTGAATCAGAATCACATTAACATCGAACACCTTAGCAACTAAGAGAAACTTTGCAGATAAAAGAATCTCTAAGTGTGTGATTTCAAAGGAGGAAATAATTTGTCTTTGGAATGATTAAAAGAGCCACAAGGAAGCTGGCCCCGCATTAGATAACACCATGAAAATAACTGCATAACAGTATGTGTCTTTGAGAAGAGTTCAATATATTCCTATGTTTCTTTTTCCATTCAGTGTCCTTGATAAACTCTGTAAACATTTGCAGTCGGTTTGTTTAAAATGTGAAAAATGCATTAGTTATTTTGAAATTTCCTATAGATTAATATCCTGGGGCTTTTATTTTAAATGTAAGATACAAGAACTTTTTCCATGCTATTTTATTGTAAAAAGAAACTGGAATCTTTTTCTTAAGCAATGGTTTATGATTCCAGAATTCTGAGGGCTGAGGCAGGTGACTCTCATGTTCAAGGCCAGGCTATGCAGCAAGACCTTTTCTCCACAGTAACAACAAAGAAGTTATTCTTCTCTTGAGGACGTTTTGAGTATCATAAATAATTTTCATCAAATACTGACAAAATGGGAAAATGTGAGATATAAAATATGTATTTGGATCATAATGTCCAATAATACCTATTGTGTATTTATTAGCTTTGTAATAAATAAATAAATAAATAAGTTGTCCAAAAAAAAGCAAAATCAGTTAATACTTCACAGTAAGCGGTTTTTCATCATTAATTTCCTATTTGGAATTAATTTTATTTTTCTTTAGACCATGAGTGTCTTTAATGTGTCTTCCTGGAGGACAGATATTGAGTCTCTGAGGCAGATACCCACAGGTCAGAGTTCACCAGAGAGGACTGAAGAACCGTGGCTGGGCAGGCATCAGACAAGCGGTAGTGCCATGTATTTTTATGCTAAGACTTGCCAGCGGATACTTTAATCCATCTCACTGGGCATTCTGGAGCAAGGCAAACATCACAGAGATGTTACACAAGGAGGGATTGGTTCTTATATCATTTGATCCTGCAGAGAACATCACTGTAGGCAAACTGACCTCAAAGACAGGCATGACCTTAGGTAAGACTGTTTCTGTGGGTAACACAAATTCTGGGGGTGGGACGCTTGGCTGTGAGGTACTGTTAGCATCCAGCAAAGCTGCTGAAAGCCCACTCCATTGCCACCGGAAGACGACCTGGCAGATCTATATCATCCGCAGCATCCATTCCAGTGAAAAGTAGTTACAGGATAAAAGAGAAAGGATACATTTCTTTGATTTATGAATACCACTCTTATAAACCAATCTGCCTGTAATGCTCGACGCCCCATATCACTGGCTCGCAATCGATTACTTTTAAAAGAACATACTAAATTGATTTTGTCCAATGACATCAACTAGAACAATGTCCAATATCATCAGTAGTGGAATTTGTAACTTTTGCTATGCATTCCTAGCTAAAGCCTTCTCAATTCACCTCATCAATGTTATATTTCAAAGAACTGTATTCCTTTTATAGGGAGCTTATCACATGCAGAGAACGGTTCTAGGAATGGGAGCGAGAGAGTCAAAGAGCATTCTGCTTTCTAGAGTTCACTGGCTGGTAGAGTGAAATGCAACTCAACAGCAAGACAACTGCTGTGTCATAGGTGTCTCACTCACGAGGAATACCCAAACTAAATGCTTCAGGCATATCATTGCGAGGGAAGTGTGGTGAGGCCAGATGCAATCCAGTAATGGTAACTGGAGAGAGTTGGGATAGTTATAGCCACATTTCCCTAAAGACAGTATCCGATTAAAAGAAAGCCCTCTCAGAGGAGGGCCAGTCTCAAACAAAAGACAAAAGAAGAGAGAGGGAAACTGAAAATAAGGACTAGTGTTGACCAAAAGGTAAAGAAAATGAGGGGAAAAAATGGCAAGCATCTTTACTATGCTTTCTGCAGGATGTAAAGAAGGAGGCAGGTTGAATGGGTCTAGGACTGGATTCATTGTAATACTGCTAGTGGTCTCTACAGACCTGGAGCAGTCCTGTGCATTGTGGTTTCCAGAGAAACAGAACAAATAGATCCTGTAGACAGAGATTAATATGAGAATTGACTGTGAAATACTAGAGACCAAGCCTCCTCACAAGTTACATCTGCTAGCCATAGAATCACCAGCAAACATTCAGGTCCAGTCAAAAGGTCAAGGAAACTGGTAAGCCGACGGTGTGACTGTAGGGTTCATGACAAGGACCTGGAATTCAAGCAGGGGAGGAGGGTCCTACTGCTGTGAATCTCATTCTCTAAAAGTCTGAGTGTCTAGAGTTCTAGGGTCCAAAGGCAACTTCGTATCCCATGGTTAGAAAAGAAATGGTCTTTTCTCTGCCTTTGAAAACAGCTTTAGAGAAAACCAAATTTGATGATGCCACCCACATTGGTAAGTGCAGATGTTCTTAGTTGGCCAATTCAAACACTAGCCTCTTCTGGAAATTTTCTCACAGAAACACTCAGAAATTATGTTTCCCGCTCTCCCTTAGTCAAAAGAAACCTGGAATCAACTATTAATGACTAGGTTAACTACCGCCTGATCCTGGGCAATTAAGTGAGTTGCTTTGGAGGTTTTCTTAATAAGAAGGGAGTTGGGAAGCATGGTCTGGATTAGCTGTTCCAGGAGAAGAATTGACTGTCCTCTACCCAGAGCCTCAAAACTGGGTCAAGACAACATCTTAAAAATTGTATTATTTAAAGATTGTATTCCTAGGAGTAGGACACCGTAGAAGAGGGCATGTTTCAGCAAATACCACTGAGGCAGAATGGCAAAAGAATAACAATGTACAGTTGCTGCTATGTGGAATAAAATTGTAATACTCATCACCTACCCAGAGAAAAAATTATGGGGGAAGTTGAAGTTAAAATTCAACCATTCAGTTATGAAGAATACAGATGTGAGAAATATGTGCTTTTTCTTGTAAAATACATTCCTTCTGGAGTGAAAGCCACTTGACCCTCTTCCACAATATCAATTGATATCATCAGCTATAGTGTTGCACAGTGACAAGCGGAGGGATGCTAGAATGTAGTGGCAGGCATTCTGTGACTAAGATTTCTGTTTTCTTTGAAAAGATTATTTCAACAAGTCTGACTGGAAATCCAGATGAAATGTGAAAAGCTCTTTGGTATCATAGGAACCAAGAGAAAACTGTCCAAGACCGCCAGGGCTAGCTCTTCTCTCCCTCAACACAGCAAAACCCTAGTCTTAATTCTGCTTGCACTGGTCCTCTTATGTGTCATTTCCTTCTAAGCTGCTTCTTTGTGTGTGCCTCATTCATCTCTCTCCCCTCTTTCACTCTCTCACCCTGTCTCCTCCCATCTTCTTTCCAGTCCCTCACATTAATTTAACCCCAACTCTTACATAATTTTGGAGTCAATATCCATGAAGTCTGACTAATTAAAAAACGTGCCTATCTTGATTTTATGGCTTAATTTGTCTGCATTGTTGTTATCTTATTATTCTAACTCTTCTCTGTCTTTCATAATAGTCATTCTATAACTGGCCTTCGAAACAGACAACCACTCCTGTTAACTCTTTAAAATGCCAGTCTAATCATATACCTCCTGTTAGTATTCAGGCACCTGTACTGGCCTACCCTTGGGGTCCTGATGGGATACATCCTCAGCTACAGTTACCAAGAGCACCTCCTGTGCATATTTGCCTAGTCCTGTCTCTGTCTTTCCCTCCCTCCTTTCTCCTCCCTCTCTCTCTCCCTCTCTCTCTCTCTTTCCATCATTCTTGTTCCAGGAACCAGTCTCTGACCCCGTCTCTGCCCTCTTCTCTGTCCTTTCTGATCCTTCTATCTCGACTTCCAACACACCGTCGTCCTCCCATGTGAGCCCTGTTGTGTGGCATGACTCCTTTCCCGCCACTTTTGAAATTATAAAACCTCTCCACCTCCAAAACCTTACATGACCTTCAGTTTTCTAGTGCAGAAGTCTCCAAACAGGGTACAAAGAAGTTCATTTGGATGAAAAAAGAAAACATTCAAATTCCTATTTATTTATGTTCTTCTAAAAATATTTAGAAATACCAAGCATTTTAAAGATAGGTTTCCCTTAACAATAACCCACTGCTGTTCATGATCAGATAGAAAAGTCAATGTCTCTGGTACATCTACACCTCCCTGAACCCCTTAACCATTTTACCAGTGGATAGCATAAGAATTTCTGCAGTAGACATTCTTCTTTTAAAATGACCTAATAGAATCTTTTATAGCATTATGTAATCAGATGTTTGAGAATATTTGCTGTAGGACAATGGTCTGTACCCTGTCACTTGTATTTTAATAAAATGCTGATTGGCCAGCAGCCAGGCAGGAAGTAGAGGTGGGGCAATAAGAACAGGAGAATTCTTGGAAGAGGAAAGAGTCAGTCTGCTGTCATTATCCGATGCTGAGGAAGCAAGATGAGAATGCCTCTCTGAGAAAGGTACCAAAACACATGGCTAACACAGACAAGAATTATGGGCTAATTTAAAATGTAAGAAAGAGTTAATAAGAAGCCTGAGCTGGTATACATTATGATTAATGTAGACTTCTGAGTGTTTCTTTGGGACTGAATAGCTGCTGGATTTGGCAGGACAGAAACCTTTGTTAACAAGTATTGTTAGTTGTCTCCCATACAGAAGTTTATTGTCTATTTCATAGCTGGGAATTTAAAAAAATATAGAATGCCATTTAAATAAATTGATATGTTTGTCTTATAAAGATGATTGCTCTATAAATGTGGTTTCCCTTTCTGAAGTGTTCTGCCCATAGTGACTAAAAAATGAATAAATACATGAAATCTATACCCCAAAGCAAAGATCAGGAGTTGGCAGTAAAGTGAGATGATTCATGTTTGAAAGAACACAGGTTATGTTTAAGGTGACATAAAGGGATATTTGGAAATATGTGTATAATTTTACTGCTGAAAAACAATTCTCATCTACATTTTTTTAAGTGGGAAGACTTTCTATGTGTTAAAATAGCTTCTAAGCTCACAGTATTATTAGGTTTAGAAGTTGCTTGTTATTAGAATAAACTATAGCACCTCCTGATAAAAAGGGTCAATAGTTGATATTGCTAAAGATGGAAATTTACTTCTCAAATTTCAACACCAGCCTCTAGACGATTACCAGTGGGATTGGAAAATGAATATCACGATGTATCAGGTATAAATAATGTTGGGGATCTCCTCTGGAGCT